AACCAACAGGCATCATACCAGGACTGACACATTTCCTCAAACAAGAAGAATCACTACTAATACCCGCCAACAAGACCACCACCAAAATCACAATCAATATCATAACTACACAAACAAAAAATTCACACAAATCCCAACGATTCCATAAGCCACAAACTGATTTTTACCCTGGACCTACAGTTGAACCTTCAGTTAGACCAAAATACCAGTCATCTCAAACTCTTACTCACTATAAACACAAATATACACACTCTCCACCAACTAAGAAATATACCACCAATTCATACAAGAGAAATTTTTCACCAAAACCTCCAAGATATAGATATATCAATGACAGAATTGAACATCCCAAATCACCCAGTATCCCTTATCACTCTAATAGATATCAACTACTGTCAATTGATTCCGAATTCGAAAATGAGGATCATTTTTTAGAAATTTGCACTCACCCAAGCACTTTAAATCAAACACCTCACCCGTCACAATCACAAAAAAGAACCTTAAGTCTAGAGGAAGAAGAAGTGGTAGACGGGAACAAGAGAGAAAAATTAGAAAGACAATAAATCCCCCCACAAATTCAAATAGTGGGATTTTTAACCTTTCACAAAAAACTCTCACTATAGCTCAACTGTCGGTCTTAAATAAAGGTCTTAAATTTGCCCCCACCAATTCTTTTAAATCCTTCGAGGCTTTTATTGACATCAACAAGTTTGTCCGGAAAGCAGCCTTAAAACGTTATTTTAATGAAAAAACAGAAGAAAATTCCATTTCCAATCCTACTGACAACAGTGCAATTTTATCTCTTTCTTCCTCCCCTAAAAAACATATTATTAACATGCATTTTAAAGAAAAATCCAAATTTTATCCAGCTTTTATGAAAACTGCCCCACTAACTGTTTTTGAGAAATTGGTCACACAGGATTTAAACAAGTTACAGACTAAAAAGTACGATACACAAATTTTAACAAACAAAGAAAAAAAAGCACTTAAAGAGCTTCAAGATGACAATGATATTGTGATAAAACCTGCCGATAAAGGTGGTGGTTTAGTCATTTTATCTAGTGCCATGTATATAGAAGAAGCGCACAGACAACTTAATGACCCTGACGTTTATGAAAAACTCTCATCAGACCCTACAAAGACTATTCAAAACCTCTTTTTAACCTTTCTCAACAAAGGTGTATCTCAAGCTATTTTAACTAAACAAGAGTATAATTTTTTGAACACAAAATTCCCCAAAATTCCGGTAATATACTTCCTACCAAAAATACACAAAAAATGTTACTAATCCCCCAGGCAGACCAATAGTGTCAGGAATAGGTTCACTTTTATGTAACCTATCCCAATACATAGACACTCTTCTACAACCTGCTGTTAAAACTATGAAATCTTATCTCCAAGACTCTATGTCCCTTTTAAACGTTTTAAAAGATTTTAAATGGGACCCCAATTTTATTCTGGTCACCTGTGACGTCCAATTACTCTATACCATTATACCTCACAAAATTGGATGTGAAGCTATTAAAAATATCTTAATAAAGGAAGATAGAATTCCGGAGCAACAAATCAATTTTATCTTAGAGGGTATAAATATTATTTTAACAAATAATTATTTTTGGTTTTTAGATTCCTTTTACCTCTAAAGAAGAGGAACTGCTATGGGTACCAGGTTTGCCCCAAGCTATGCCAATCTGTTTATGGCAGATATGGAATCTACAGCTATCTGTAATGGAGAAAATTTAAGGGCAAACCTGGTCTCATATTTTAGATATATTGATGATCTCTTTTTTATTTGTAATGGGTCGGAAGACAATCTTATCTCTTTTTTTAATGTTCTCAATACTAATAACAGGGGCATAATTTTAACCCATGAATTTAGTAGAGAACAAATAAACTTTTTAGATCTCAATATATTCATAAAAAATGGTAAAATAAACACAAAAACCTTTTTTAAAGAAGTCTGTGTCAATACAGTAATCAATAAAAATAGTTGCCACTACAAACCTTGGCTTGATAGTGCTCCGAGAAGCCAATTTCTTAGATTATGCAGAAATTGCACAGAATTGGAAAATTTTGAAGAACAAGCGAATGCCCTCAAAAACAGATTTATAGAGAAAAACTACCAAGAAAAAAATCTACTCGAAAATATTAATGAGATAAAAAATAAAAATAGAGATGAGCTTCTAAAGTATAAACCCAAAACCAAAAATGACTCAATATCTCTCCCTATCATTTTAAATTATACCAATAAAAGTAAAGAGATCAAAAAGATCATCCAAAAACACTGGCATATTTTAGAACATGATGAAAAACTTTCTAAAATTATACCAGAAAAAACGAGTATAATTTTTAGAGGGACTCCTAACGTCAAATCTATCTTAACTACCAACTTCACCAAAGAAATCAAACCCAGGAATTTTGTAACCTTCTTTCCCCAATCTTTAGGCTTTCACAAATGTAAAAATTGTATTGTGTGCAAATCAGCTGATCCTACAATGCCACCAAAAATAATAGAATTTACCTCAAACAAAACCAAAATTACTTTTAAAATCAAAGAATTTATTACATGCAACACCAAGAATGTTATCTACCTATTGGAATGTCCATGTGGCTTCCAATACGTTGGAATGACTACAAGATGTTTAAAAGTCAGATTAGGTGAGCATTGTAGGAATATAAAAAATGGTTATTTAAATCACTCTCTATCCAAGCACTTTTTAATTCACAATAAAGATCCTAAAATGCAAAATATATGGGAATAAAAAAATGTTCCCTACCCTGGAGAGGAGGAGATATAAAAAACATCTTAGGCAAAACTGAGATGGAATGGGTTTATAAGTTACAGACCCTAACACCAAATGGACTTAATGCAGAATTTGATTTGCACAATTTTTTATGATATTCTTATTTTCAACTTTTTATTTTATTTTATTCATTTTATGTAATCATATCACCATTTTAACTTTATGTTACCATTTTGATCTTATATTTCAATATCATTGTGTTATGCTTAGAAGATTATGTTTCTATTTATAATAATCTTTCTCATCATCATTCCTGCCATTGTTTTTATTTTAATCTTTATGCAAAAAAATGTGTGGGGCATTTTAACAAATACTTTTCCTTTTAAAAGTATGTTTTTTATGTTTAAAATAGATTGAAAGTATGTATTCCTTAATAGGAGCGCCCAGTGACCGGCAGGACTCTATTTCCCATAGAGCATTGTGTTTCTAGCCGGCCACTGGGCACTCCGTGTACACCAGGAAGTGTTCTCGTCTATTAGCCGATTTGCGCATGCGCGCAGTGTTCCGATCATGTGATCGGAACAAAGTGTAATTTAATCCTTTTAAAAGCTTCGTTTTAAATAAATTTTTATACAGTGAGCTTTATTAGGCAATTACAAAGGCATCTATATGGTTTTAATACTATTTTGAGATGTGTTACGAGATCGAGATTAATAATAATGAAACTCTTTCCAAACTCTGTTTAAAGCTTCGTTTTCAAAATAATTAAATTTTTTAAGCCTATTAAAACTCATATGAATATACCTACAAAGTTGTAATGTCACTTTGAAATGTATAGAAAGTTTGGTTTTAACACTTGTTTGTGATTGGTGCACAAAAAATTTTGGCGCCAAATTCAACTTCTGTAAACTTATATATTCAGTTCCTTGCCAGGTGTACTGTTCTTTTACCATTTTGAGAAAACCCCAAAGGTGAAACGCGTAAATGGTTTTAATAAGTGTATTTTAATCAATAAAAGTTATTTTTGGTTACCTTTTATACTAGGACCAATTGTATACTTATTTTTATTGTATTTTATACACTTTCTTTTACCCCTGGCATTTTATATATAACTTTTTATATATATATTTTTTTGTATTATCACAAACTATTTTATAGTTTTATCCATCCCTTTTTTATTTTTATTTTTTATTTTATTTTTAACTTGAAAGTATATTCCGTCCAAAGAAATCCTTAGGTGGGGATAATTCCACCAACGCTGTGGCAATAGAGCAGTACCTATCTGCTCTATTCTTGTAAGTATAACTCACTTAAAGATATTACTTTGTTGTTCATACTGAGAGCACTATTTGCTGTTTCATATATACTCCGTGGACAACTACTATCCGATACTGGAAAGGCGGACCTATCTTCCAAGCATTAAGGAATTAACGCATATTTGAAGTAGATCCTAGCCGATACCACTGGAATTCCAAGCCGGACAGACGGACCATCCGAGTATATCCGTTAGTGGGGATCAAACCACAAGTGTCTCTTCTCCCAGAGCTGGCAAAAAGCTCCACCAAATGTGAGTGAAATATATTTCCTTTGAATATATACCACATCAGGATATACAATATTTCACCATTGGCAGCTTTTTCTTTTGTTTTTTATCTTCACATATATGGACTACCTACTACACGGACGGAGGCATACTTGAGGATTACTATCGTGGTACTGCATACCAGTGAGACTGTTTTTATTTTATAATTTTTATTTATACTTTTCACAAATCCGGATGAACTTTATTTGATTTTATTACCACTGTTTTTATTAATATACGATCTTATATACTTTTAATTTTTTTTACCTAAGCGCAGCCCTTGACCCCCTCTTTTCTTGCAGATTGTTCATTATCCCCACGTTCACAGTCCCTTTCCTCGCTCCCTAATCAAGGTGCACCTTAGCAGTAGGTATCTTGTATACATCCCCCCCGGCCACTCGAACAGCCACTGTTTGTCCTGATCGCTTGTGTTCCGGGATCAAGTGGCTCTGGACCAAATTAATTATAGCGCCAGTGTCCCGTAGCCCCTCTGTAGAGTGGACCTCCAGCCATACTGTGATGCTGGCGGTTGTCGGAGGATGGATATACTGGGTCAGCCTCGTGAAGGGGTCCTAAGTATTCTTCCATGGTACCCTCCTGGTTGACAGAAAGAGCCTGGGCTGGCCGAGCAGGACCAGAAGAAGGATTATAGCTCTGGGAGGTATGGTGGTTGTTCAGTGGACAGCTGGCCATAAGATGCCCGCGTCACTTACACCGATAACATGTGGGCCGGGGACGATCTGGTGTGTTGTTACTGGGTGGTCCTGAGTACCGGGTGGGCCCCGCTGGCACAGGAGCCCTGAAGTCGTTCGGTAGTTTTCCTTGATTTTGGCCCGAGCCGCCGGTCGGTATTTGGACAATTCGTGTAATCGCGAATCATACTGTTCATCAGCTAACTTGGCCGCCTCATTTAGAGTAGTGGGTCGACGGTCTCGAAGACCATTCATTCCCTTGTTGATCCATGCCATTGTAAAATTGTTCCAAGAGAAACAATTGTAATATTTCCTCACCGGTTATTGCTTGGCACCCTTGGATCCAGTGTGTAGTCGCCCTTCGCATCCTATGGGCCCATTCAGTGTGGGTGTCATTTGGCTTTTTCTTACTGTCCTTAACCTGCACATATTGTGTCACCTCCTCTGGGGTTAGTATCCGAAATGCATCCAGGGCTTGCCCAGACAGTTTCCCGGACAATATAATGGGCCAATCCTCACTGGGAATTTGATGAAGTGCACACTGCAGCTCAAAGTCTGCTAAATACATATCTATTCCCGTCTCATTCTCCAGAAAAGGTCGGAAAGCCGTGTAAGGAATCTTTCGCCTCCTGGTCGTGTCTGCAGGGATGATGGTCGGAGCTGCTGTGGGAGCTTGCTGTGCTGCGAGCAGGCTGAGTTCGTGAGCTTGGGTTGCTTGTAGCTCAGCTCTGGCTGCTTGCATCTCGTCCTCCACCTGTGCTATTGTTTGCTGTATCAGCTCTATAGAGGGGTTTGGTCCGAATAACGAGAGCCTCTCCTGAACCACCCTGGTCTTTTCATCACCAGCTGTCGTCGGGGTGTCTGCCATGGTGAAGCTTTAATCCAGCTCTGTCAATTTTGCGATCAGCTCCCTCCTAGGTCGATTGCTTACGTTCCCACCTCGGATTTCTAGCAGATCCTTTAAGGTGGCACGCTGTAATTTATCATAAGCGTTCTCCATCCGCTCTGTATCTTTCCTAGGAATTCCAGGACGATCCCGCCACTGCCACCAAATGTTACGGTTGCCTCCAGGCTGGCTGGAAGTTGGACGGCTTGGATATCCTGGTTCCCGAACTTGGAGCGAGGGAGGGCCGCTCCGATCAGCATACAGTATTAATTCCTGGAAATGTAGAAAATCACACTAGCTATAGCAAAGCTAGGATACACCTTTCCCTACAACACGAGTGGAGCCTGCGAGTTGAGGGTAAAACAAACTGTTTTAATGGCACTCATGCATGGCAATTTATACAAGTTATCAGGTCAGAGGACAACCCCTCTGGACCTGATGGTACACTGGACAATGCAATGTCCCAACCAATAAGGATAAAGTGCATTTTTTGAAAACACTCCCCCCTTCCCTGGAGATAATTAACCTAATTATCTCCAAGTACACATGAAAATACCACGTTTTATTCCCTACATAAAAATAACTTAAAAATACATAACTTTTATATTTTAATAGTAAAATATTCCATTCAACCATTCTCTGGATAGCTCAGATCTGAGTGCACAAAATATACAAATGGCGCTCAGATCTCACGAATGGTGTGCAAGAGTCATGAAAGTAAAGTCTGTTCGTATGGTTTTTGTACGAATGGATGGAATAACTGGCACCATAGCAGGATTCGTATAAATCAGTAGCCAATTATAGTTCCAGGAGTTTTAGCCCTAGGTCCCGCTGAGCATTCGACGACATAAAGATGGCCGCCTCCTCGTGTTCAACATACGAATGACGACCACCTTGGAATAGGTACTTAGAGTGCGGTTAACCGCAAAAACAACAGCTTAATTGTGTCACATCCTGTTCCTAGCTGCGGATCATTCTGGCAATGGCTTCTGGTATCCAGTGCTCTTTTTGCTTTCCTTTCTTGGTTTTTCAGTTTTTTTGGTCTATGTCTGGTTTTCTTTGTTGCTGGGTTTCTGCGTCCATTCCTGTAATCCATCCCTGGGATTCCCAATCTCCAGTAAATGTTTGTTTTATGTGCCACACCTGTTTGTTTTCCATTTTCCTTTTGTTTCAGCCTGGACCTGCAGCAGTGTTTCAAGTCTCTGCCCTTTCTTGTGCTATTGTGGTTTAGTATGGTTCTTTTAGTGAACATTAGGCAGTGTAGGACCTGCCAGATATGGGGTACATTGGCGTTGTTGGCAGGCTTATGCAATGTAATGTGTGCTAGTGAGTGGAGCAATTTATACCATATATAAGACAGAAGAAAGAGTATATATATATATATATATATATATATATATATATATATATATATATATATATATATACAAACTGGTTTCGATTTTAAGTGTAACTTCCAGCAATAATGGTATATATGTAAAGAAAAAAGGGAAAAAAAGCAATGATAGTGCAGATTGTATAAAAAATATATAAACATATATATTTATAACAATTCATAAATTGTGAAGTATCACTTTAAGAAATATTTGGTGAAACCCCAATAGGAAAAAGATGACATAAATTTATTATCTGCCACATGCAGAAAAAGCAGTACATATATACATAAAATAGAATAATAAAAAATGATGATAAAAAATAGGGTGACAAGCCCCTTACTAGATAAGGTGGTGAGTTTGACACATATATGTCAACTCACTATCAGAGTTCAATCATTAGGGTGGTAGGCTGCTCGTCCGGCGTTCTTCCTGTTCGGCTGCTAGAGAATCTCCTCGTGTCGTCATGCAAAGGGGGAGGAGCTTACAGAGACGTCATACAACGGGGGAGGAGCTTACAGACCACGGAGTCCGGAGGCGTTTGTTTTCTGGCAGCAGACAATACACGAGGAGATTCTCTAGCAGCCGAACAGGAAGAACGCCGGACGAGCAGCCTACCACCCTAATGATTGAACTCTGATAGTGAGTTGACATATATGTGTCAAACTCACCACCTTGTCTAGTAAGGGGCTTGTCACCCTATTTTTTATCATTTTTTATTATTCTATTTTATGTATATATGTACTGCTTTTTCTGCATGTGGCAGATAATAAATTTATGTCATCTTTTTCCTATTGGGGTTTCACCAAATATTTCTTAAAGTGATACTTCACAATTTATGAATTGTTATAAATATATATGTTTATATATTTTTTATACAATCTGCACTATCATTGCTTTTTTTCCCTTTTTTCTTTACATATATACCATTATTGCTGGAAGTTACACTTAAAATCGAAACCAGTTTGTATATATATATATATATATATACTCTTTCTTCTGTCTTATATATGGTATAAATTGCTCCACTCACTAGCACACATTACTTTCTCTTTTTGTTGGAGTTTTGGGATTACACCAGAGTGTGAAGCAATTTTGAAAACAATTTTGAAAACTATTTAGCTCCCAGGTTACATCTGTTTAGGCTTGTGCAATGTATGATCATATAATGTAACTAAATCCCCATACTTTTCATATATAGTGCTTAGTTATGTCTCCTCTTGTTTTACCTTGTATTTATTGTCTTATTTTATTTAGTCTTGTAATCCCAGTCCATGTACAGTCCTGTCCAGTCATGCCCATGTTATGTTCTTGTTTTCCTCATGTCTTGTGTACATGTTCTGGGTTCTGCTTTCTGTCCTGTTCTGGTTCTGGGTTTTTCTAGGTTGTTCTCCTAGTTCTGCCTTGTTTTCCTATATGGTGCCTATCTCTAGTCTTGCCTTGCTTCAGTACTGGATACACTCCTGCTGCAGAGCCTCCCTATTCAGCTCCTGGGAGGTCTGCTTCATTCCAAGCTCCTAGTTCCTGGGATCCGCTGTAGCTGCATCAGGGTTTTGGTATGTGGCTGCACAAACGCTGGTGCTCAACACCAGGAGGGCGTGCGGTTACCCTACACCAGACCCTGCTAATCCACCTTCACACTGTGACTCCTACTCTGAACATCAGGCATACATGGGTCCCGGTCCTCGCAACGCTGCCCGGACAGTGTCTGGGTCCTGGGCACTGGACCGCCACCCTGACAAATTGAGGACACACGCCACTATCTAGGTGGTTGTCGTTTGACAGTTCATTCGTGCAGTCGTTTGGTACTCTGTTCGGTGGACCGGCGCACCGCCTACCACGGCCCCAAAGGCTCGCACCAGATACACTGCGAGACATAGTGCGATTCCACTACTTCAAAACCAAGGACGCAGTACTGGCGGCGGCAAGGAAAGTGACAAACCTGCCTATACCATATGAAAACGTCCAACTATACGCAGACCTCTCGGCTATGACCATGAGTAGGAGACGAGAGTTCGTAACGGTCACAAAGACACTAAGGAACAACAACATTCAATATCGCTGGGGATACCCGACCAAGATTATCGTCTGGAGGAACGGAAGAACACATACAGCAAACGAACCGGAGGTGGGCATGCGGCTCCTAAAGGAATGGGGCCTTTTTCCAGTAAGATCCCCAGAAAAAACGCCAGCAGGATCGCCAAAATGCCTGCAGAGAGAATGGCAGATGGCGGGGTCAACCACCCTATCTTAATAACACAATGGGCCCTCTCAACAAGGACTGTAGTATGTCTTAAAGTGACTGTCCTGTTTGCTACTTACAAACTGAACTGACAAACTGTTGTGAGTATAATGCATATGCACACATGTATAGAACTATAACACCACAATTCTAGCAGCACACACTCGAGACAAAGACAGGTTGAGAGGGAAAAAACACAAGATTTTCAGAGATGGGCAAAACGGGAGCCGGGGAACATAAGAGCAAAGGAAGGCCCTAGACATCCAAAATACTGGATAGGTGGGTTAAAGCGGCAGTACGCAAACAAAAAGTAAAATTCATAGACCAAGGTTACGCTCCTATCTACCCAAAGGGCCAGGTATGATAGCAACCGTTCCACAGGGGCAGAGCACTCATGAGAAAAGGGCAGCAAATCTTGATCCGATAGAGGTCGCAGATGCCGTGCTCTCTCCGTCAGATGAACCCCTAGGACTTGAGAGCAGAGACGGGACAGTCTGCCCGGCTCGCACTCAATTCAGCTAATGCGCTGAAAAAACAAATGATGCTATGTATATACTTAATTTTGTTACACCCTCCTGTTTTGTCACCCCCAGTTACTTCTCACTTTACCTACCCCTGGGCAACACCAACAACATATGCTATACATAATCACTCGAACTCGCACGCACCACAAATGCATCCTAAAAAAGGATTAAAATGGCTAATGTAATGAGAATCTTAACCCTGAATGTGAAAGGCCTCAACAGCCCCCATAAAC